AGTCATACCAAGTGGATTAGAAAACTTTTTGAATTCACCTGGTATGATGAACATACGAAACAAATTCAGAAGAAGCCAAATGAATCCCGAAAATGAACTGGACAGACACAAGAAAAATTAATACACAAAATTATCAGCCTAATGAATGCATCCAAAATGAGGTGATACTAAATTTTCCAGCGTGCACATGTACAGCCTAATGATTGTGCAAAGAGTTTAGTTCTGTGTTATCCCTTGGCAAACATGGGATAAACAATCAGAATTAATCTTTCATAATATTAGAGACTAAATAATAATATAAGCTTTATTCCTGATACTGCTGAGATACTGCAATGTCCTAATAGCAAATTTCCAGAGACATGATTGTCCAAAAAATGCTTAATGTCTGACACACCAACCATTCAGGTACAGCTGTGATACCATATTTCACCAGATGGCGGTGCTATGGAAATGCAAATGTGAGATTCCTAATGTTGACACTGGTAAAAATGGAGAACTCTGGAAGGAGAGTCCTCTTTGTCACTATATGCAAAGCTATATGCTCATTGAATAGTGTGTAAACTGTGAATTTAAAAAGCATATAGGACAGGATAGACTAGGATGCTATGCCTTCGCTCTTTTGCTGTATTGTAATAGTTATGCAGCAGTCATTTGGTATGCTTATGATATATTATTACAGGTACTTATATAGCGCCGTGGCTTAAGCAGTGCTATACATATATATTGTACACTCACATCTGTCCCTAACCCTCGAGCAGTGTACAATGTAAGGTCCCTAACTTACATTCATATATACACATACTAGGGCCAATTTAGACAGGATCCAATTAACCTACCATGTTTTTCCTTCTTTCTAGTAAGAAATGTGCAAGTAGGTGAAAAGCAATGAAATACAATCTTACAGGCCATATCACACTGTAAATAGTGCCCAATATTATGTTTTCCTTAATGCAGTATTTTAAATGGCAATCACCATAAAACTTGATTGGGAGATCAGGGGAATATTTGTGATTTAAAATAAGATTGGTTGCATATTAATATTCAGTAGCTATGAGCTGTGTTCAATGTATCCTTTAAGAATAAAGAACTCTGATCTCTACTTATATCCTTGGCAGAGTTTGGATTCATAAATAGGTCACAACCAAATTTCCATTTTAAATAGAATTCCAATTTAAATGTGCTAGGTTTAAACCTAAAATAAAAAAAAAAACAAAATGTTTTTGGTGGCCACCACAACTGGGATCTAACTATTAGAAAGTACACTTCTTACAAGGGGAAAAATATATTTTTTATCTCTGAAAGCAGAAAACCCAAAGATAAGCATCCATCCCAACAAATTTAAAGACTGTCCCAATGACATCGTATAAGCCAGATACATTCACAGCTCACGCAGACACGGGTTAGTTCTTCATTTGCTCATGTGATAAATCTTGCTCTTATATTGCATAGAAAGTATCTTCCACACATGTGAGTCTTCTAGAATTTTACAGCTTGTCAGTATACTCTTTTAAGAGTTATACTATCATAGAACTTACCATGATGATTTCCCCGGGAATAGGTGTCCTTAGTTTAGTACGAAAGCGGGCATTGAGCTCTTTGATGGGAATCAGAACCATCAAGCAGAGAATGGATATAATAAGTTCAGCTATATTGGTCATATGTACAGCTCTAAAAACAGATGCCAGTGTCTACACAAGAAGAAAAGAAAAATATTATATACACCTTCTTTTCAATAGTTATAAATAATTTTTCTGTAGTTATATGACATTATAAATGATGTAATGTTTATCATCTAATAAAATGTAAAAAAAAATTAACATTTCAAAATGAGGAAAGAAATACAAATTTTATTAGTGTAGTGCCCTTTAGTTAGCCAGGGGGAGCTAGCTAGGTTTTTAGTTAGAGGCTGTAACTTCATGTCAGGGCTGAAAGCTCTGCAGGTCAGTTCCCTGATACCTCCCTTTGCTCTAGAAGCTTGAGAAGTTTCTAGAAGGCAGTGGGTGGGGGTGAGGAGGGGCTGATCTGCATACTCAAGGGACTCTGATCAACCCCAAGCAGGAAGCTTGGCATGGGGTCAATTGGGTATTATATTGTGTCTGTGTGCACTAAAATATTTGTGTATTTTTTACTGAGAAATGACTATGCAAATATTATGTGACATAAAAAAATTGCTGAAACCACCATTTTATTCTCCAGAGTCTCTGTTTTCAATATAATGTTTGGGAGTTTCAAGTAATGTTCAAGCAAAAAATGCTGATTTTACCAGGTGTAAAAATAAAAATTATTGTCCCTGACAGCAAGTCATTCATCTGAACTTTTTTTAATATAAAAAGTTTTCAAACCCCTGTGGGGTCCTTTATTTGCTCACACACATAATTACATAAGGAGCCACCATTGGTCACATACATTGGGAATACCAAAAGGCAGGGGCCCATGCACTGGAGCAGTATGCATCATGGTGTACAAAGGCAGTTAGCTTATAAGCAGAAGTTAGCAGTATATATATATATATATATATATATATATATATATATATATATATATATATACCAACAAAAAATACATTGGCTTTACACCAGTTCAGTTTGTTCCTTGATTATTTCAGATGCAATTGTTTCAGACTGTGGTTGTATGTGCTGTCAGAAGACTCTTGGCTAACCTTGAAAATGGTGAAATGTCCAGTGTGACGTGGAAGAGGGAGCCCCATCATGTTTTGTATCTGAGAGATGGTCACATGGAACGCAGCAGCATTGGTAAAAGCTTTTACTATGGGCTCAGACAAGTACGTGGAGAGGAAGCCAAGCTGTAGAACAAACATGATCACCTGGAAAAATTACACCAAAATTGATGAATTGATGAAATAGAATTACTGAAGATCTATCATACCTTCATCTACTATATATTGGACAACTACGACAGCCTATGTTAGACAGTACAGTTTCAATACAATTCAAGATAAGAGGGTTAGGAGTGTGCTGCTTGTGAGAGCTTCTAATCTAAAGGGAAGGGAAAGTGATACAAAAAGGGATTAACTGTGGTGGAATGAGGTGTTTGGGAACGTAAATTGCAGTCGATAAGGATAAGTAGAAGTAGCATAGACTTCCCTGAAGAGACGAGTTTTCAGGTATTGCCTAAAGGTAGTTCCCTGTGGAGGGAGTTCAAGAGGATGGGACTTTCCTCTGGAGTCCCAGGGGCAAGGATATGAGGAGGTAATGAGGGAGCTAGATTTATAAACCTCCAATAAAAAGGTCTACAATTCTATGTTCTTTAAAGGCACAGAACAGATAAAACATTTCTGTGAGCTTCTGTCAGGGCTAGATTCCTGCTACTTAACGAGCAGCTCTTTTCTTTCAGTGCTCAGAAGCTGCTCAGCAGTCGGTTAATTACCACCTACTCATTGTCTCCACAGTGACTCACCTGAATACCATTACCTGTCTCTTTAGTCCAGCCTACAGCCAACCCCTTCTGCTATTTTAGCAGCTTAGCTCATTTCCCCCTTGCCCTTGCGTGGTCTATGATCTCCAGTGTGTTCCTGCCTGTGTTCCTGTGTACAACTTGGTCTGGCTGACTTCTCTTTCGCTTCCTGCTCCTGATTTTTGGCTCCTGACCATGCTGACTTCTGGTTTCCTTACTCTAGCTCGTCTGATAACCTGCTCTGGCATCCAAACCCTAGCTTCTGTTTTGACTACGTTCCTGATCTATGTTATATTTGCTATTTCATGAAAGGTGTGATTTTAACTTTACTTTCTGTCTCCGCCTGGTTCATGGTTCCTGACAGTTTCATTTGCAAAGAGTAACTAGAGTTTTTTCTTTTTTAAGTGGAGTATGGTTAAAACTTCTGCTACTTTATGTCTGCTTTCCTTTATTTTCAACTCAGAGACACACAGGGAGGTTATAGAAAAGTGAAGGGAAATCGCTTCTTAGACACAAGAACAAGTGACCCCATTGAAAGATTTCCCCTTCTGTGGTGACAACTCATTCTTATCCCTTTCTCTCCTGAAGACATCGGTCACCGGGACAAATCGAAAGGCTGCGTCTTCAAATGCCAGGGTCACAGACTTCACTAACAATCTGACAGGGGGTTTCAATATTTTTCTAAAGTTTTGCAGCTGTTTGTGTGGTGGATATATGTAAGACTGCACCAGATTCATCATTGACATCTTTTAACTTAAAGAACTGATTTTAGTATAGAGTTGTAAGGGGTTAGAAACGTCTCAGTTTTTTATTGCTGTCTGTTCCCCTGCTATGAAAAGTCACTCTTTCTCTTTGTGCTGGTGACCATTGTCAGTGAGAAAAAATATAAAATGTTGACAGGAATAGAGGAGAAATCTTCAAACTGAGCTACTCCAATGACTATTGTATTTGGACATTTGAAGAGATTTCCTCTTACATCCTGTTGTGTCTATAGAAAAGAAAAGGAAGAGAAATCTCCTCTTTTGTATCTCATAAAATACTTTATATATACTTTAAGAAGATGGCATAGCTGTGTCTTATCAGTTTGTTTGGTCAGGGAATAGGGAAGAGAATTTGTGATCTTATAGAATATCTGTGCCATACAATATATTGCTACCCCATTTTGTCCTACCCTGCATTGACTTTGATACATCTCTCACATGGCCCCTGATTCATTTAGCTACAATAGCAAGTAAAGCATAACAAGTGTGCTTTGTTATGCAATTTTTTCATTGCTTGTTATTTTATCATATCTTAGGTGCCCATTGCAGCTTGATGAATCGATGGGCAATGGGCAATGGACAGTTGCTCTTATCTCACTACACACATAATGGAATTTGGAAGGCCATGAGCTGGCATAATCATACTCACAGTACAGTAGTAGTGAAAATAAAGGGACACTATTAATACATTGTCACACTTACCCCCAATACACTACAAATGATCAGTTAAGAATGAAAGGTGTGTTTACCATGATAAGTCCCATGAGGAAAGCAATAGCAGCTGCCATGCCTATTCTCTGAGCATAGATCTCCAACTGCTCCTCCCCAGTGAGGTTTCTATCCAAAGGATTCTGGACAAGATGTCATCAATCAATAACTGAGCCAGTCATTAGGCTTAGCACAGCAAAGGTACCTGGAAAATAAAGAATTATTTTACTCAGCAAGTGGTGTCATGTAAATCACACCATTGGATCTTCTTTAGTACCTGGATTCAGGGGAGAGACATTAGAAGGCAATGCTTCCCAAAAATGAATGAATCCCTCACTATATCCAGGATACTTCATATCCCATTTCCAACTATTTTGTATTATGAACATTATATATTTGAATTCAATTTTGTGTCTGATAAAAGCTCTGTCATTACGAGTGTCTGTACGTATTTTCATGCACTATAATCCATCAAAACCAACCAAGTTTCTATAAAGTAAATGTACAGCCAAAACCTCTTTCTTTGTTTTTATAAATGCAGGGAAAGGTTATAAATCCTCTCAGTTTATTTTTTGCAGTCTCTTTCTCATTGAGGAAATGTCCCTTCACTTCCTGTTCCAGAGACACAATATGAAGTAAAATGAAATCACCACAAGGTGAAAAACACACTCCGCTCTCAGTCAGTTATCACCAGAACAGGTATCAGTATTGAAAGATTAACCCTCACCTCTTGTTTTGGTGACCATAACAATCAGAGAAGATGAATCTTCCCATCCAGGAAACAGACAGCAATGAAAGGCTGTCAAGGATTCTAACCATTCTACTTTATCCAAAATTTAAATAAAAAAGGTTTGGGTATACATACTCTTTAGTTGAAGTTTTATTTTAATTTAAGATGCCAATTCAATAATTGGTTGCTATGAGTTGCAATTGCACTTATTTTTTAATTTCTACTGGTAGCAGGAGATGATTTGAAAGCCAGGTGTAAAACTTCTCAGAGTCATGCATTCTTTCTAAAAATCCACAAAAATAAAGTTGTACCTGAAGTACCTGAGTTGTGTTAGTAAAGTACAACTACATTATAAAACTCAAGAATAAAATTATGTGTTTGTCTCTGTGCAGTTTTTAATTAAGCTACAGGTTTAGTACTCCTGTACAAAATTTCCATTTTAAATTTCCCAGTGAGACATAGTATTTTTGAGAAATCCTAGCACCTCTTTTAGACAGAGTATCTGTCTGTATATTTGCAGTTTTATCTGATCATCTGTTGCCAGTTTTTCAGTATAACAAAACCTAATTGAAACTAGGAATATTTCTCCCATCAAAGGTTAGAATCACAGACCAGAATCTTACCAGTAGAAACATGATGTCCAGTCCCAAGTAACATGTAGAGGACAACAGGAAAGAAAGATGTGTAGAGTCCATAAACTGGAGCCACTGAAGTTAGTAACGCAAAGGCCATCCCTAGTGCAAATAAATGACATGAATTTAGGGTTGCTTGAAATTTAGTTCAGCTGTCTTTTTTATTGATCACAATATATACAGTAATTCCAAGAACAATTAGGTTTATACTTCATTTTACAAGCAGAATGCAATAATAGACTGCAATGATGAAATGTAAAAAAAAAAAAAAAAAAAAAGCCAAAACTTTTATTTTTTCTGTCTCCCCCTGGGAAGATGCTTTTTCTTTCCTGAAGACACAATTGCAAGTGTCACTGAAATAATTATCCCCATTGGAAGATTTTTTTTCCCATTCACCATCACCTTCTATCCCAGTGATAATGGTTTCCATGACAAATAGAGAGAGTGGGTCTCTCTGGCACAGATACAAACAGCAACATAAACCCGAACACTTCTCCACTCTATTATCAAATTTAGAAAAAAAACAAGTTTTGGCTTTAGATATACTAAATAGATAGATAGATCTACTAACAGCTAAAACCAATGGCCACTACTCCGTACTCTTACTACTTGACCTCTCTGCGGCTTTTAATATGGTTGACCATCCCCTCCTCCTCAAAAAACTCCACTCTCTTGGCCTCAGAGACTCTGCTCTCTCCTGGTTCTCCTCCTACCTATCGCAGCGCTCCTTCAGCGTTACCTATAATGCTGCCTCCTCCTCTTCACTCCCTCTTTCTGTAGGGGTCCCTCAAGGGTCTGTCATTGGACCCCTTCTCTTCTCAATCTACACCTCCTCCCTTGGTCACTTGATAAACTCCCATGGCTTTAAGTACCATCTCTATGCTGATGACACACAAATCTATCTTTCTACCCCTCACCTTCAGTCTTCTCTCGCATTACTAACCTACTAAGCGACGTATTGGCATTGATGTCACTCCACTTCCTCAAACTCAATCTTTCCAAAACTGAGCTCTTAGTATTCCCCCCAGCCCGTGCCCCCTCCCCTGACTTCTCCATCAAGATCAATAACACAATCATCAGTCCCTCTCCTCATGCCAGGGTACTAGGTGTAATCCTAGACTCCCATCTGTCCTTTCACCCCCAAATCCAATCACTGCCCAAATCTTGTAGACTTCACCTCCACAACATCTCCAAGATACACCCGTTCCTACCCTCGGAAACCACTAAGCAGCTTATTCACTCCCTTGTTATATCTCGCCTTGACTATTGTAACTCCCTCCTCATTGGCCTACCTAATCGCAGGCTATCCCCTCTTCAGTCTATCATGAATGCTGCTGCCAGACTCATCCACCTTACTAACCGCCAATCTGCCACCCCTCTCTGCCAATCCCTCCACTGGCTTCCCATTGCCCAACGGATAAAATTCGAGACATTAACAATAACGTATAAAGCCATTTATAACTCTGCCCCAAATTACATCAACAATCTTGTCTCTAAATATCACCCAAACCGTACTCTCCGCTCCTCGAAAGACCTCCTGCTCTAGCTCCCTTGTCTCCTCCTCCCATGCTCATCTCCAGGACTTTTCCAGAGCTTCCCCCATCCTCTGGAACTCTGTACCCCAATTTATCAGACTATCGCCTACTCTGCTCACTTTTAGGCGATCTCTGAAAACCTATCACTTCAGGGAAGCCTATCCTGCCCTCAGCTAATAATGGAATCTTCTACTCTTCCAACCAGTCCATCCCCCACAGTTACTACCTTTTGTACCACTAGCCCCTCCCTCCTAGATTGTAAGCGCCAAGGAGCAGGTCCCTCCTTTCCCTCTTGTGTTGAACTGTATTGTTGCTGTATTGTCTCCCATTATATTGTAAAGCTATACTTGTATCAGTCTAAATCTATTAAATGGAAATGCTTCCTTACCCATATAAATAAATATGACAAAAAGTAGTCACAGAAAAGCAACCAGCTGGGTTAAAGGTACACATTATAGAGACCCATAGGAATAAACTGTAATGCATAATAAGTCACAGGGCCAAAAGCATTGATGTAATAATACAGCATGGTGGTGAGGTGTCAGCAGCGATGATGGTTGTGGTACCCTAGCAATTCTGGGGGTGGAAAAAGTAAGGACAGTCAAGAAGCATTACATCTACTTTTACTTATTTGTATATTGTGCCTGGTTCTGACTCTGTATCAGGTGGTGATGATCATGACGATATAGAAAAGTGTAGCGTATGGGAACCGGCTCAGGAGGACAAAGAGGGGACATGAGAAAACAAGAGTGGTGAAGCTGAAAAAGCTGAAAATAACAAAAGAGACATGATTAGCATGGGGCAGAGGTTCCTCTAAAGTTGTCAAGTCCATTAGTTTGAGTTCACAGTATGGAAGTTTCTCAATAATGTATCATCATGTAGTCAGGCGCTTATGTTTGGCTCTTCAAACACATTGGGGAATGCTGTCTCTCATACAACACATATATTGCAAGCACTTCATTCTGTGGGAGAAGTAATGTGGACAACAAGGCCAAGGCTTTCCACATTTTATAAGGCAATATCACTCCAGTTTCTACTTCAAAGCCCAGAGAAATATATCCATCATCTCCTCTTGCTGCTGCTTTTCCTGTACCTGTTGCCCACCACCATTCTAATAGCAAAGTGATAATTGTCATTTTTTTGCAGAATGCTCATATTCAAAAGCAACAACAGCAAGCAGCCACAACATCCCTTTATTTTCCTCTTCCTCTTTCCTACCATCACCAATAATTCACAACAGGGTGTCTGGGCAGGAAACACAATCACAAGCAGGCAACTGCATGTCTGTCAACTTTGCCAAGGAAACACACAGGGTGTGCTCAGTATCAATACAGGATACATTTTCACCATTTTTCTTAATAAATGACTCCTAGATCTGTACCCTCATTAAGTCTGGAATAGTATGTTTCCTGTACGTCTACAATGGTTGATACATCTGGGGACAATGCTCAAATTAGTAATCAGCAGTTGCAATAATGCTTCAGGCAATGGAGGAGAATTGATAGCACTATAAATTACCAGAATAAGCTGTGAGAGCAAACATTTTGTACCTCTTCTGCTTTTTTGCACATGGTGGGCTTCAGAGAAAGGTGGTTTTGTATTCACCGGAAAGTCACTTTCTGGATTTCCCAACACCCTGTCCAGCTTGGCAACATAGTCACAGCAAATAAAACACCACCACAGAACTGCATTTAGGAAAACCTAAACCTCCATGCATAACTCAGATAATATACCACCCAACGACTATTGTTGCAAAGACAGATTGGCTTTCGTTTCAATGGTTTAATTTTTTATGGTTCAATACACTTTTATGAAGCCTAATACACCCATATGTAGTATGCACATGAAAGTAATTTATTGAACATCGTTCATTAACAAGGAAACAAAGCAAACATAGTTTTAGGAGTACCTCTCCAGAAAAAGTACATGGTGGATAAAAAAATGTGATAATATGAATACAACATAGGGTTAAAAACATGGCTAAACAGACAACAATAAAGGAAAATTCAGTTCTCCTGGATTAGTACATAACATGTTCCATAAGAAAAAAAAATGGAAGGGGAGAGGGGAGGGGAGCAAGATAGTGGAACACAGGAATTGGGAAAAAAGAGGGAAAGGAAAGAAAGCCCCTGAAACTTAAAACACCTATCAGACCTAAAGTTCAGCATCAAAATCAGGAGGATGTGTAGACCAAGGGTACCATGTTGGAAAGTATTTTTGCATTTATAAAGATTCTAGATTCAGTTTTCATATGTTTCATGACCTAAGTAGATTTGGTTTCAGCAATAGAAATAGTAGTTGTTGTCATGCCTTATCAATAGTTTGTTTTGCAACTGTGAGAACATGAACCATTAAATTGAACTAGACCTTAAAAAGATCAAGCAGTCTCATATTGAGTAGTACATATTTGGAATGAGGGGAGATCAGGGGCGGACTGACAACTCATGGGGCCCCCGGGCAATAGTGGATCATTTGGCACCTGTGTCCTTGCCCAAACTCAGATAAGCCTATGAAAAAGGTACCAGGGGCATCTCATGGGGCCCCCTACTGAGCCCAGGCCCTCGGGCAGTGCCCGAGTTTCCAAATGGTCAGTCCGCTCCTGGGGGAGATCCAAGAGTCGAATAATTTCACCTCCAGCCAGAGTGACTGAACCACATGACACATCCACCACGGTCAAAAGTCCTCAACAGTCAACATCCCTGGAAACAGAGGGGGGATGAACCAGGTGCATAATGGGTATCCTAGCAGGTATCATGCACTAAAATATGAGGGATTTGCAATTAGTTTTGGTTGCCAGCACTTTATGTGAGCTAGATTTAGAGTTAGCCCATGTCAGAGGCCCTTTTCTGAAGCTGTGGCGTAGATGGTGTCAGCAAGAGAACAGACATCAGAGAGGTGCTATCCTCATCATCCATAAGGACAGATGTTTACACAGCAATGCAAAGAGGAAACCAGTAAGAGATTTGTAGCAGGTGGACACCCTTAGTAGGAAGTGGAAGAGGATAATAAACATAGTTGGATATTGAGGAAAAGGAGGACAACACGTTGAGGACATGCTGAGAGAGTGGTGATGATGATGATGATCATAAAAAAAAACAAATGTGAGGGCAGAGAATGAAGCAACTATTACCCTGGCACAGATTGCAAGCTTACCATTATTTATTAGGGCAGCAGGAACTGTTGATCATAATAGGGAACTCCTAGGGCAATGGGCCCAGATGACTGAAGCATAGTGACTGTCTATGGTGGAGCAGGGATAGAAAACTGATCACAGTCTAGACTCAAAGTAGAGGCAATACACTTAAATGGAATTATAATCCAAGCCCAATTTATGTCAGACCAGAATATACATGATAGAAGGGCTTAGCCAAAAATTATGAACACACCAAGGCCACCCTTGGAACACTCTTAGGACACATCTGGAAGTGTTAAATGCCAAAGAGTCTGGAGCACTGATGGAAAGGAAGTAGACATATGCAATTCGTTTCGTTATGAATTGAAATTTGGACAATATTTTCATTATTCAGAGATTCAGGTGTATCCAAATTTCTGAATCACAATGATAAT